ATATATAAAATAAGTAATAAATATTATATATTTATTACATAGGAAGTAGGGAAAAAGCCCTGCTAAGTTAAATAAAGTATGTATGTTTCTGTTATGTGAAACAGACAGGAAAGAATAAAAGAGAAAAAAAAAGGCCTAAAAGTATGTTTGAAAGTTTCCTGAAGAGAAGAGAGTTCCATTGTCAAAGCAGAAGTAAGATTTATTTCTTACTTAAGTAAAGTGAAGATTATGCCCCTGTGACTTCCAAGATTCTTCATAGAATAGTGAAGAGATAAAATAAAGAGATGCAACAGACAAGCAGAAATGCACGGTCATGGCCAACACGCAAATAAAATTCTCTTCAGAGTTGCGTTGCCATGAAAGCGAATGAAACAAGATTACTCTACTTCCTGGTCTTAACAGATATAAGTGACATTACAAGACGTGTGAAGGAAGGGTATAGCTGAGACTGTTCACTCAAGACTGTACATACCATATCTTTGCAACATTATACAGGAATAAGCTTTAAAGCCTTGGATTTCAGAAGGCAGAAGGACAGTCAAGGGATGATGATGACTATATTACAAATTTAACTGACAAGAACTGTGGAGCTGGCCACTTCAGACTATGCAAAAATCAAATCAAAACAATCCAATTTATAAACCAGGATTGATGCATACCAGAAAAAAAAAAAAGCTGATGTAGATTTGTACCCCTGGGTGGCACTGTTGGCCAACTGGAAACTAAAAAAGGCGGAGTCGCAGGAAAAGAAGCCTGTAAACACAACTGCCTGGCAGGCCACAGGGAACTGAGTTCAGCCTACTCTGCAGCTATTTCTATTCAAACACACTTTTCTGAATACTCTTACCTTAATAGCTTTCACCAATTAACCTAACGATTTGTGCCAAGCCTTTTTTTTTCCCCTGACCTAATATGATTAAAAACTTAGACAGCAGCATATTCTATTTGCCTCTCAATTTTATCTTTTGGGGAACATGCCCGTTTTAGAGTGTAGAAATATCCCTGAAATAGCTGCTATTCAAGAAAGAATGAAGAACACTGGGTACAGGATCACTTGTGCTTAAGATGCGTTTTTTCCTTTTATGATTAAGCACTAAATCCACCTTCTCAAAGAAACAAAAAAAAAGCCAGTTTCAGTGGAAACTGACTATTGAGCTGCTTTATTTCTGATGCACTGCATCAAATTATCTCCATATAAACAGGAACACAAAAACATATCTGCAAGCAGTTTAAAGAGTGTGTTGGAGCTCTGCTCAAGGCCTCTCCTGCCTAACAAGGTGTCCTTCCCCCAAGACTACAAAGCCATGCTCTTTCAAAAAAACACCTTGTATTCATTTCTGCACTGCAGACCACATCTGCCATGTCTATAGCCTAATCCTTAAGATACTTTCCTGAAACATGAGGTTTGAACTGTCTCTCCCACTTACTTCCTAAGCCAGCACTGCAGTCAGGTAAGCTCTCAGACAAGAGACAAGGATCTTCTTTCAGTAGGATAGCTTGTGGAGAAAAAGAAAGCCTTCCAGTTACCCATATCTATCCTTAATTCTGGGAGACTCCAGAGCCATTATAGAGATGCAGTGAAGGGGGGGGGAAAGGTATCACATCAGTGAGGAAGACACGTGTTTAGCCAAGTCCCTGCTTGGTTAATTCCAACTGAGGTAGCCTTTCACTGAGCCTGCTAGCCACTGCCGTTCACATGCACCTTCCTCTTTTCTCAGCACAGAGGATAAAGCTGAGTGAATTCCACTCCTGAACCAAAGACCTAAACCTTCAGGCTTTTGCTATGTGGCTTGTATTGCCTTCTGTGAATTTGACCTAAACCAATTCCTCCTAAAGCCACAGACCAACCAAAAATAGATGCCTCTTGGATTCCAGATCAGATTCTTGTGTCTTGGTTTGAACTAAACAGAACAATTCTGTTCAGTGATTTTTACCTTCCGGCTTTGTCTCTTCTAAAAGGCTGCATTTTCTGAAGTTAGCAGCGTGTTTTTGCAGTGTGTGCTACTGGCAGTGATAACACCTGATGTTTACAGTTACTGCCTGGGACTGGGACGCAGAAAGGCTCTTGCTGATACTTATTCCCGTAGTGCCCAAGGCCACTGCTGGCTCTTGTGTGCCACGCTGGGGGTGCCGGGTAGTAAGAGGGGTCACAAGGAAGTAAAAGGTTGCACCTTCAGGGAGGAACAAACAGGACAGGTGACGAAAAAGAGTATTCCATTCCATATACACCCTTTTCTGTGCGAAACTGAGGGATCGAGAGGGTTTAAATTTCTTTCTTTGTTCTTCTTCAATGACCAGCATCGAGGGAGGACTCTGTCTGATCTTCTGCCTTCGATCCCGATCCTGAGTCCCTGAATCCAGCTCCCATATCCAGCTCCCCGCTGTCACTGAACCTGGGGCTTCCCCAGTGCTGCCTGCTCTGCAGCACCAGTGAGGACTGATACCAGGGTGGGGGGGAAGAAGTCAGGCTTGATATTGCATTTGTATATATTTGGATATAGTTCTCTATTATGTCTTTATTAGTTGGGGGGCATTTCTTGTTTTATTAAAGCTGCTTTAGTTTTCTAATACATGTCTCTCTCTCTCATTCCCTTTTCCTTCCCATTTGGGGAGGCAGAGGAGATTAGAGAGTGTCTGTCAGCATTTAGTGGCCATCCCAGCCCTAACCCTCGACATCTTGCCACCGTACAATTCTACCTTCCAAAAGAGCAGAACTTCCTTCAAAGGTGTCAATATCAACACCTCCAAGGGGTCTCATCTCCCACAGAAAAGCAATAGTCCTGTCTAAACAGTAACTAAATACTTGAAATAAAGTTTTACAAGAGAGGGTAATGGAAATCAAACTGATTATTCAAATTTCCAGTAGCTGCATAAAAAGAAACAGTAAGTTTTTCAGGGCTTTTTAGTCCCAGGCTACTTAAGTGTACCTACCTTTTAGAGGGTTTTGGTAGAAACTTACAATATAGGTAAAGCAAGATATTTTCTTGTAAAAATCAGCAGGACCAATATGACTAAACAAGTTCAAAAGCCAAATACACAAGCATAAGCACTAGAAAAGAAGCATTATATCTGTTATTCATAACCACAAATAATACATGCAGAATAGAGAAGGGTAGAAGGAATTTCATTTATAACTCTGTTATTCAACTTGCTCCCTACTTTCAGGATTTTAAACTGTACTATCAGAGTCACTGCAGTAAAGGTTGCTACTGATCTTCACATCCACAACCTGTTCCTCATTTTACCACACATCACAGATCTAGCTGAGCACAAACATCAGCAGTGTTTTCAGCACAGCCCAGATCATAGAATCATAGAATCACAGAATTGTCAGGGTTGGAAGGGACCTGAAAGATCATCTAGTTCCAACCCCCCTGCCACGGGCAGGGACATCCCCCACTAGATCAGGCTGCTCAGAGCCCCATCCAGCCTGGCCTTAAAAACTTCCAGGGATGGGGCTTCCACCACCTCCCTGGGCAACCTGTGCCAGTGTCTCACCACCCTCATGGGGAAGAACTTCTTCCTAACGTCCAATCTGAACCGATCCATCTCTAGATGTCTTTGGAAAGGGCAGCATGATGGAATGTAAATAATCCAGAAGATTTCAGGGTGTTTCAAGTCACCCAGAGTCTGTCATGGTGAGGTTTCCTCCATCTGAAGGCTTTTGAGGTCTCTGCTAGTTACTATTCTGGTCAAACAGTCTGTAGCGGGTACCTCCCATGTTGTTAGCCACTTTGGTCTCTTCTCCAACACTCAGCCCCAAACTCTCAACTGTCTCATGACCCATTCCAAGGAATCAAACTAATGTCCTCTGCATAAAACCCAAAAGTTTATACCTTTTCTATTATTCCAAAATCTACATATTAATTTTGATCACAAATATCCCTTCTCATCACAGTTGAAATCAGGTTCCTAGCTAAAAAACCCTCTGGTTGAGCCCACCTTTCTATTTAGTAGCCATGCAACTTTGAAGTATCTGTGATATCTGTAAAAAAGCAATGTAGCATCTGTATACCTTTAAAATTAATGAGTACAGCATAATCCAGAAAAGTACTTACGACTGACAATAAGCAAGACGCAGAATGAAATGAGAGATATGATCTTTTCTTCTGGCCTCATAATCATCTTCAGCCAAGGCCTACAGAAGATATTATTATTACTTTACAGAGAAATAATCGCTCCCAGATTAAAAATCCAGAATTAAGTAATCATTGCTGTTCAACAGTGTAATAATACTCATCTTTAAGCTAGTAAATACAAGAAGATTAGCAGAGGATATATACAGAAGAAATACATTCTCCCAAAGAAAAACTACACTCTGACAAAATGACGAAACTTAAGTTTTAGGAATAGTATTTCATTACCTTCACTTTTATTCAGAATTTTTGAATGGTGTAAAGAAAGCAAAGTGCAAGAGAGTTCCCTTCTTTGATTTTTACTTACTTTGTATGGAAACTTAAGTTTCCGGAGCTCACTCTCCAACTTAGTTTTGTATAAATCACTACTTCTTGCATAGCTCACACCAAGGTTTTCAACTACTTTGAGCACTGGGGGAAAAAAAAGAAAAAAGAAGACCATGTTAGAGACAATAAATTGAAAAGAAATCTAACTGTATCACATCTTGGGGTAAAGCCATTGGAGTTGCTTTTAGTGGTATAGGGAACAAAGGGGTAAGAAACATGGAGGATTTAAGTTTGGCCCAGAAGTCCTGAAAAGCTCCCCCAACTCTGGGATCCATGCAGTCAACACAGAGAGGGAGACACCTAACTGCTGGATCAGTCTCAGAACATCGGTTTCCACTACAAAAGAAATTTAGTGGTTTTGAGGAGTTCAGGAAAACCCTTTCTCCCAGTCACAATGGCTACTGGGATCAAACCAGCACACCTCTGTCCTGTCCAGGTTGACTTTTATACACAATCTTACTACTAACAGTTTTCCAAAGACATTATTATCAGATTTGCAAGTAATTTGCATATTATTACACACTCACTAGTAAAACTACACATGTTCACTAAGTCAGGGTCTCTACGTGGGCCATGGTTTCTTGCCCATTGAGTATGGCTTTTAACATTATGATAGTCTGTGCAATGGTAAGGCTAATCAACTCTTCAGCTGACAGTTCAGAAATACACATAAGCATGATAATTGTGTACTCATAAGACTTACATATTTTCTAGGATGCTCGTTCTTCAGGGGTGGACAATTCTTGATAAGAAGTTCCTTTTCTAATCATCCTTAATAGTTTCAAGGATAATCACAGCATCACAGAATGCACTGGGCTGGAGGGGACTTTTAAAGCTCTTCCAGTCCAACCCCTGCAGTGAGCAGGGACATCTTTAACTAGAGTAGGTTGCTCAGAGCCCCATCCAGCCTGACCTTGAATGCCTCCAGGGATGGAGCCTCCACCACTTCTTCAGGCAACCTGTTCCTGTGCTTCACCACCCTCATAGTAAAGAGCTTCCTCCTGACAACTAATCTAAATCTACTCTGCTCTAGCTTAAAACCATTACCCCTTGCCCTATCTCTACAGGCCTTTGCAAAAAGTCCCTCCCCAGCTTTCTTGTAGGTCCCCTTCAGGTACTGGCAGGCCGCTATAAGGTCTCCCCGGAGCCTTCTCTTCTCCAGGCAGAGCAGCCCCAACCCTCTGAGCCTGTCCTCGTAGCAGAGGTGCTCCAGCCCCTGATCATCTTTGTGGCTGCCTCTGGGCACGCTCCAACAGCTCCATGTCCTTCTTGTGTTGAGTGTTCCTCCTGCTTATAGACACTGTGTGCACATTTGTCTTCATTCAGTACATCCAATCAGTTCACACAGCTTCAGAGCTCACTCAATTCAACATTTTAACTTTTTCTTTTTTGATGACCAGATAACAACAGAAGGAATCTAAACCTTCAGAGGCCGGGCAGGGACGCTACTCACGCTTCAGGCGGTCGATGGCAAAGCTCTCAAACTCCACCAGCGAGATGTTTTCCGTAGGGGGCTC